TTACAGCTATGATACTGGATGAACGATGAGAACTTTAAAAAATCAAAAAGAAGAAAATAGGCTTGTTTTTTTATGATAAATAATGTGTGATCGGAAAAGTTTTTAGACAAGATATTTGTTCACTTTTCATCTGCTAGAAAGTATTTCCGACAAGTCAAATCCGCCAAGTTTGGTTGCTCTTTTCGAATATGGGCTAATAAGCCTTGCAAAGCGCAAGATATTGGTCTAAACGGAACTGTTTGGTCGACGTTTCTGAGGAATATATTTATTCATTTTGGGTTGCTGAAAAGCATTCCAGACGAGCCAAAAACTATAGGTCACGGCCAGGATTTTATGCTTTTTTTTAAATAAGGATTTATGAGGGAACTACTTGAACTAAGATCCACTGTTTGATCTCATATGGAGTTCAAAGGAGGCCTCAGTAAGACTAGAAAAATCCTAAAAGGATTCGTATTCATGAGTCTCTGCAGCCGAGTTATGATCGTTTTACTGAATTTTTGATCTAGCTTTCTGTATTTACCGAAAAATAAAATAACAATATTTCGATCTAAAATTTTGCCCATAAACAGGGTGCTTGACTAATAGAATATCCTGAAAGTTTCAGCCGAAAAGAATGTTCCTTTGTGGAGATATTGAATTTTCGAACAATGGGCATTTGCCACAAAAATCGAGTTTCCTTAAAAATTCAATACATCAACAAAGGAACATTCTTTTCGACTGAAATTTTCCGAATATTCTACTAGTCATTCGACCTGTTTATAGATGAAATCTCAGATTGAAACACCGTTATTTGATTTTTTGGAAAACACCTAAAGCTGGATCGAAAATTCAGTAAAGCGGTTATAATTAGGTCCCAGAGGCCTATGGGCACGGATACTTGTAGGTTTTTCTAAAGATTGTCGAAGTCGATCATTTTGTAGAGCGGACATTTCTCTGCAACATGTGATATTGAACTGAACTGTATCTTTTATTCAAGCGATACTAAAAACATTGTTCCAAGAGCTCCTTTCAATCTAAAAACGGTTGTTGATTTTTCAAAAATGAGTAATTAGGAAAAACGAAAATTGAGGTGCTTTGCTGGAAAATTAAAAAAACCTCAAATAGTGCATTTTATACGGTAGCTTCTGATCTACAGGTTAATATATAAATAAAGATCCTAACTTTAAGTTTCAAATGGTCATAGTGAAAATACAAAAATTTTTCGTTCAGACTAATCTTTTGGGCTTTTCGAAGATTATTTCATTACTCTCGAATAAAAACTGAGACAAAGTTTCTAAGTCCATATACGAAAAGAGCATCCCAACTCATAGCTTTTGATTCATTAGCAAATACTTCCTAATTAGTCAAAAATGAATACCACCTTATCTAAAACCTTTCCGATTACCAGTTAAATAAAAGTTTTACGTTGATTTTGATGAAGACTTTTTTGATTGTTCTTCTAGATAAATAAATAACGATGAATTTTATCTTGTTCTTCCTAAAATTTGAATATACTTACGAACAATTCGTTCACATGCATTCGAAGCAATTTGACGATAACGTTTTTCATCATATGAACTTGTTTGTAGAAAAAGTTTTGTCCAAAGAAGTTGATTATTATCTGTTGATGTTGTTTCTCGACATTGTACATGAGAATTAGTTAATTCTTCTTTTTCTATAGGCCATGCTCCAATATTCTATAGAATTCATTTTTGATGAACATCAATTAAATTTCAATAAGCGAAACAAAGTATGAATTCAAAATAAATTAGCAAATAAATATTTATAATTGAATAATTTTTTTTTTCTTTGGCATTTTTACCATATTTGATATTCGTGAATAGAAGTGAAAAAGTTGAAAAGCGAATAATGAACTTGAACGATCTTCAAATATATCTATAAACAATAGATTTAACTTTTGAATTGAATGATAAATAAATTTAGTATAGTTGGATAATAAAATCATCAGAACTAGACTTTTTTGACAGAATATAAACTAACTTTTAGTATACTACAGTCTATCCTAAGATACGGCTATCGTAAAAGTGTATCTTTCACATCGCTGATATGTATTACAGATTCGATGTTTTTATTTCCAGATAGAAGCAAATCAAAAGATCAGAAAATTTTACCATAAACGATTCTCATCAAGGTCGGTCTTTATGCAAAGTTTCAAGTCAAAATTTGAAAATCAGTTTTCCTAGTATTTCTAAGGAGAATTACAGCATTGAGTTAAAAAATATCGTAAAAATGCAGTATCTCGGCAGCAATAAGCTAAGAGCCCGATCTTTTTTCAGGATATTCATAACTTCTTAAGGCTTGCATAATGCACATAGTCTCGACTGAAAAGCAATTAATCAGTTGGGAAACATTCCTTGTTAGTCTTTAAAAACTGAGTTTCTCGTATTGATACTGCACTATATGACCTTGATATTAAACTTAATAATACTTTAAATAATGTACAATCTTTTTCGTGGATATACATGTCTGACTTCAGATATTTTTGAAAAAAGTCATACGTATCAATTAATTAGATTAATTCCCATCGGATGTGAAAAAATAGAAAGAGAAGGAGCGCCATCTTTCTATTTTTTATGCCATTCAAATGAAATACAGCTAGGCGTACACTTAAAAAAACACGTCAACATTTGTTTGTATTCAATTTCGACTATCGAAAGAAGTGTGTTCGATCCACTTAACTGAGAAAAAAAAATAATGATGAAGCAGTAATATTAACAGAGAAGAAAAAAAAAGGGAATTACATTATGGATTTGCTCACTTCATTGAAAATATTTCTTAGACATGTAAGCATAGATACTGAAGGCAATGAAAACTTTCAGCAGCATGTACTGCATAAATCTATCAATCTAATAAGAACAAGAAACAAATGTTTGAGTCTATCCAAGTCTCATGGCTCCGATGACTATGGTTAGATTAAATCAAAAACAATGAAAGATAACATACCTGAATATAGTAAAAGAAGATGTTTAATCGTCGCATAATTGAACATGTGAACAAATTCATTTATTTTAGCTCCAAATCTATTTCCATAGTAACATTTCATTGATTGGTTATTTGCATAAACCAATATAAAATTATTGATAGACATCACTTGTTTTTTCTAAAAGTGCATAAATCACTTAAAAAAAATCAACAATAACGACACGTTAAAGAATTTAAGTATCGGAGATGCAGCATTTTTGAGGAGGTTTCGTTTGTTATGGGCACTTTGCATATGATGTGATTTTGCGTTTTTTTATCGAATTCAACACTTTGCTGTTCTTACCGAATACGAAACCGTCCATAAGAAGCAGAACAGCAGGTAGCGAAAAAAAAACCAGGCAGATTGAGAGAGAGACACAAATTTTTTCATGATCAAAGTTTAATAAATATAAACAACAATCTGATATTTAAATATTCTTGTTGTTTTTTTGTTTTAGCATAACATCATAACAAATCGTGATGGCAGGGGTAAATCTTTTTTTTTTGTGAAATCTATTTCTATAAATATCTATTTTAGACAGAGAAGAAACCCCAGTTGAGTTTTATCGAAAACTTTGCACTCAGTGGTGTTGCTGCTGTTGTCTCAAAAACAGCAGCTGCACCTATTGAACGTGTAAAATTACTCGTACAAAATCAAGGCGAAATGCTTAAACAAGGGGTAATCAGTCGTCCTTACAATGGTGTTATTGATTGTACCATGCAAACATTCAGAAATGAAGGCTTCTTTCCATTTTGGCGAGGCAATTTGGCTAATTGTATCCGATATTTTCCTACTCAAGTTTGTTTCGATTTATAGTATAAGAAAAAAAAAATTATTGAAATTTTTTTTTTGCTCTTTTTAGGCTTTAAATTTTGCCTTCAAAGATAAAATTAAAGTAATGTTCAAACAAAAAAAAAGTGATCCATATTTAGTCAATTTTGCTAAAAATGTAGCAAGTGGTGGTGTAGCTGGTGCATTATCATTATGTTTTGTCTATTCACTTGATTATGCACGTACACGTTTAGCTAATGATGTCAAAAGTACAAAGAAAGGTGGTGGTGAACGTAAATATAATGGTCTTGTTGATGTTTATAAAAAGACTTTGGCAACTGATGGTATTGCTGGTCTTTATCGTGGTTTTGTTATATCATGTGTTGGTATTATTGTTTATCGTGGATGTTATTTTGGCTTCTATGATACATTAAAACCAATTTTACTCGGTCCAGATGCTGGTATTATGTTATCATTTTTACTTGGATATGGTGTTACAGTTACATCAGGTCTTATATCATATCCAGTTGATACAATTCGACGACGTATGATGATGACATCAGGACAAGCTGTTAAATATAAAGGAGCATTAGATTGCACGTTCCAAATTTTACGTAATGAAGGTGTTATGGCATTATTTAAAGGAGCTGGTGCCAACATTCTTCGAGGTATTGCTGGTGCTGGTGTATTATCTGGTTTCGATAAACTTGTACAGCTTTATGCTGGCATTAAAGTTGATACCAGCGGTGGTGGTTAAGAACAATCAAATGAAATGAAACAACACATCACATACAAAATCATCTCACTCAGACTATCCTTTACTATCCATTTACTTCCTTATGACTATATTTTGCTCGCCTAGTGCGAAAAAGAGTGTAGATTCCTTCATTATCTTTTATTTTAATGTAGCAAATTGTCGTTTTTTCTCTCTCTCTTTCTCTTTTTTGATTGTGTGCAGTTGTAGTCGCAGTAAATGCTTGCGTTTACATTTCTTCTTTGTATAACATCAGGAAAAAAAAAAGAATAGCAACAAAACATCCATTGTTGATCTAGGTTCAAATTTTTGTTTTCTTTTTTTTGTCATTTCTTAAATATCCTTGAATTTTACAGAATAGAAAAAAAAGAAATCAACAATGTACACCAGATAACGTTCTCTTTTTTTCTAGAAAAAAAAATAAAAAACCAAAAAAACACACATATACACAATGTTGAATTTAGATAATAAAATTTCATATTTATTATTCATGAAAAATGTTTGATAAACGTAATGTCGATTAATAAACAAACTATTTTATATGGTTTAAATTCAAAAGAATCAATTAATTCAACACCAATAATGTTTTCACGTGATTCATCTATGGAAACATTATCAAGTTTTAATATTAATTTTCATTCACATAATTCAACATATACATCAGAACATAGTACAAATCCATCAGGAATTTTATCTCCAAGTGATATACCAGATTCACCACCACGTGGTTCAGATGATGATATTGATACAATTGAACAACAAAAAACATTAATTCAACCATTAAATTTAACTCGTTCAACTGGTATAACAGTTATTGAACGAACAGATAATTATCTATATAACGATAACGATGTTGATAGTATAAGAAATTATGCTACATCACCACAAAGAATATCCTATGATGATAATAATGATGATGATGATGATAATAATTCAATTCATTCATCATTAAGTTCATTAACATTACCATTACCACCATCATCATCAACATCAAAAACATTATTATCAAATATAAATGATTTAAGAAATTTAAAACATAATTTAAGTATTATTAATGAAGAAAGTTTATATGAACAAAATGAACGACAAAAATCATCATTTGATATAAGTAATACAACAATAACAACAACTGATGATGATGAAGACGACGATGAAGATCAAAAAGGTAAACGATTATTATTTGAACTTATTCGACAACGTTTACCACATCATCATATATCATTAACAAATGCATCAGATTCATCATCAAAAACTAATGATATTGATATTCAAGATAAATCAAAAGGAACATCATCAACATCATCATCATCAATTAATGATCAGGTAATATTTTGTAATATTATTGTAATGTTTTACTAATCGTATGAAAATATTTATCTAATGACAAAAAATCTTTTTCATATTGTTTCGTGAAATTAAGAATTTTCTGATCGTAAAGTTGTTTTATCGTAGCTATGTTGAATGTATGAATGATCTTTATTTAATTCATCAATCATTACATATAAGTTTGGATCAGAGATGACAATATTTACACTAAGTCAGTGGTACCACCCACTACTCCAGGTATGTGTGTGTGGGAGTCGAGAAGGTCAATTATCTTCGCCCACACTCATACTCGTTAATCGAAAATATTTTTCTTGCTTTCCTACTGATAATAACATTCGTTGTAAAGATGTCGGATAATGTCATTACTGTTTAGTTTATTTCTTCTTATCCAAGGCAAGGATTTCTTTAGTAAAATTATGAAATTGTTCAGAAATGAAAAAATTATGTCGATGAAACTGAAAGATACTGGAAAATCCTATTGTTTCCTTTTTTCGATATTAATGAGAAAAAAAAATCATTTTAGACTATGCGTGAAGATTCTTCCAATCATGCCTTATCATCACATGATATCACAATACCTTCATCAGCAATGCACGAAAGTGGTTATGATAGTTTATTACCAATTGGTTCAGCTCCAAAACGATCTTTATCAAATGCATCACTTTCAACAACACGTTCATTAATAGTCAAGAAAAAACATCGATGTGATGAAGAGAATGATGATCCAATGAATGGTAATAATAATAATAATAATAATAATAATAATAATGGAGAATTTATTGATGATGACGATGATGATCATTATGATAAAAAAGCTGGTGAAGCACTTTTACGTAATCTTATTGCTCAAGTACTTCCATCATGTAAGAATTTATATTTCAAATAAGATAATAATATTTTAAGGTGTTTTTTTTCTAGTCAATCCTCGATATTTAAATGGTGGTACTGAGGATGATGAAGAAGAGGAAGATGAAGTTATAAGTAATCCTCGTCGACCATCACCAACAAGTCAAACATATAGTAGTAGTAATGCATCATCAGTACGTTCACTTGATATTGAAATGGAAATGAATAAAAAAAGTGAAAAAAATCTTTGTATTCGTTCAAATAAAAATCATATTCCAGATATAATTCAACAAGAAAAGGTACATTCTTTTTTATTTTTCAATTAATTTATTTTAATCATATGTTTTTTTTATTCAGATTCATTCCAAACGTACATATATTCATAGACCTGTACATCAAACAAAATCATCTGAATTACGTCGTCTTCAAACACATTCACGTCGATAAAAAAAAAACAACAAATATTTTATGACATTTACTTCAGTATATACAATCAATTTTTTCTTTTTTTTTTGTTTTGTAAAAAGTCAGATCTGTCTCATTTTTATGTCAGATATTCATCTTCTAATAATTGATTGAGTCATAGGTAAAATTTGTTTATTAATTTTTGAACAAAAAAAAAACAATAAACCGTCATATCTTTCTTACAAACGAAGTCATTTTTTTTTGTTGTTGTTGTTGTTGATTTTTTTTTCATATTCAATTAGTGTATATCGAATTTTTTTTTCGTAAAAGAGAAAAATAAATATTGGCTAAATTAAATATGGCAGACTGTATAAAGCGTAAAACGTAAAAACTATATGCGTAATTTGCCAGTGGTTTGATACAGTAGAAGAAAAATACGTAAATACATGAATCATCGATAGGCAAGAAATGAAAACAGAACAGAGCGTTAATGATAAGATAACCTAACAAAAGAAAACATAAGTATTAATATCATACTAAAAAAATTAAATAGAGTACAAACATCTTAGAAGAGTTATACTTGGCGTACATTTTTTTTGTAATTTCTAAACTAGTTTTTAATCCAAATTTTTAATATAAAATTAACATATAAGCAGAAAGGATTCATGTAAACGATAGCATTAGTTGTATTCAATAGCTAGACGAACAACGAAAAAAATAACTAAAATAGGAAATTTAACAATTTCTGTTCATTATATATAATGAAAGGAGAAAAAAAACATTTTCGAATAGGACACAAGATTTCATTTGAAGACAATACAAAAAATGTGTTATCAAAAATTATCTATTAGCGATTTTTTTGTTTGATTTTTTCAAAACGATGTTCATATCGTATCTACTCAACAACAATAAGTCTTTTCTGTTGATTAAATAAATGATACAAATATTTTTGTGTATGTACAGTAATTTTAATCTTTTTCAATACTCAAAACTTGTAACATTTATGTATGAAAAAAATTTGACAGACATAGTACTACATCTTATGAACCAGATATATTAAGACCTGAATGTATTTATTGATAAGTTATCAGCTCAAATCGATATGAACTTTGTCATGTGTATATAAAGTTCAGAAAATGTCTACAGGTCACAGTAAATAATGTTAATATTAGGTTGTATTTATTGCAATATGAAAGTAAACTAATTGACATGTATCTTCAATACGTATGAAGTTAGTTAAATTCAGATACCATCTTACTATTATATACATCGTGTTCATTTTTTTATTATACTTATGAGAATATTATTGATGTATGAGTTTTCAACTTAACAATTGCTAAGTAAAACATAATTTATAGTATTAATCACACGTAAAATAACGACCTCTAATGAATATATGTCTGATAATATCAAATAAGAAAATGAATTTTATATTTCTAATCAATATTTTAAATGTAAAATAATCTTCATTTAATTTATTTCAATATGAACAAATTATGAGCTTTATCATACATTAGAAAAAGAAACAGATGTCTTATATTTTTCATTCAATTTTAACCTTTGTTTAAATTTTCAATTCACATTCTTAATGAAAAAAAACATAACGTATAACATTGATAACTTATCATCAATATGTTTGACGTCTCAATTATCAAATAAAAGAAACTCGACATTCATTGTTGTTCATATCATATATTGATAACTTCGAAATAAAAAAAAAGAATATTATGATAAATGTTTTTTTTTCTCTTTTGTTAATGTAATAAGCATTTCGATTTAGAATACTATCATTTATTAATCTAACAGAAATTTATTCCAAATTTAATTTTTAAATATAATTAGAATGAAGAACAACAAAAAAATTGTTTCTTCTAATAAACCTTTATTATGACGAAAAGAAAAAAATTTTTTTTTTCGTTCTTTATTTATTTTATTTTTGCTTACTTTCTTTTCTTTGTTTCAACAAAATATCCACAAAACAACAAAAGAAAATGTATCAACGAAAAAAAAAAAAACAAAACAAACAACGATTCTGTTTGACCTGTTGTCTGTGTTTTTTTCCTCTCAATGCAGTCAATTAGATGTCTACAAAAAAAAAAAAAAACATGGAGAAATAAACATTTCACGAGTATAATAATATCAACTCGTGTTTTTTTGTTTGTCTGACTTTACAATATACACAACACAGGCGCATTCAGACAGACAGCAAAATCAAGAAAAAATTCATATGCGTATACACACACATATATATGTATATATATATATAAAGCATGACGTGAAAATTAAAGAATAGTTTAATAATAACTCAAAGAGTTCGTTTGTTTTATTTCTTTATGCTTTTTGTTTTGATCCTGGAGCAAAACGACCACCGGCACCACGAACACGATTCATTGCATGTCGATGACGGGATTCATGAAGAAATTTACGCTAAAAAAAAATCATCATAATTTTAATAATAAAAATTAACAAGTCTTTTTGTTTTTGAAAATTTTTTCTTTACATACTTTACGTTCACGTGGAATTCGTCCTTCAGCTTCAAGTTTAGCACGAGCAGCACGTCGTTTTAATATTCGATTATATTGTTTAGCATTTACATACAATGGTTCTTCTTCTGTTGGTTCAGATGCAACAGTTGTCTGTGTTGGTGCACCTGTTGATGTTGTTGTTAAGCCACTGGTTTGCATTTGAACAGCTTGTAATTGTCCTGCATTACCAGGTACCATCTATTAATAAAAAACAAAGATAAAACATAATTTCTTTTTTTTGCATTTACCATAATAACAGTTCCATTTTGTGGTGTTCCTTGTGTTTTAGTTGGTGTTGATAATTGTACAATTTGTTGTCCATTACCACCAAGTTGAAGAGCACCAGCTGGAATCGTTATGGTTTGTGGTTGTTGTGATGTTTGAACACTACTTAATTGTAAAACTAAAAGAAATTAAATAAAATAAATATTCAAATAATTTATCTTTATTTTTTTTACTTTGTCCACCGACTTGTACATATTGTGGTTGTTGTGATTGTGGTTGTTCAGCACTTTGTAATATAATTAATTGTCCATCAGCTGTTTGAAGAATTTGTCCCTGTGGTAATGTTGTCGATGTTGGTGATCCACTTGTTTTAAGAATAATCTTAATAATATGAAGAAAAAAAAATATATAAATAATATTCATTTATAGATTAAAGTTTTGACTTCTTTTTTCTTTGATATTCTAATAATTAATATTTATGTGTTTAATTCCTTATGATGGTGAATTTAAAAGAAAAATTTTATGTTTTTTTTTTGACGTACCTGTTGTCCATTTCCAAGACTTGTTCGTTGTTGCATTAAATCATTATTATTCAATGTAATAACATTTCCACCCGTGGTTCCTGATGAATTTTGTTGAGAACCAGATGAATCCATTTTTTTTTAGACGGACTATTCAAAAAAAAAAATCAAAAATCAAAATCAAAATAATGAAATTTTTTATAGATAAAATCGAAAATTCTGAAAAATTGTTTTTTTTCGTTTTTATTTTGGAATATACCTCATTAAAAATGGTTTTGGATTATTTTCAATCATTGTCAATATCATTAATAAGAATTTCCTGATGTCATTTTTATTTTTATGCTTTTTTTTCAATGTATGTTATGTTCTGTTTTTTTTCTCTTCTCTCTGTCTCAAAATCAACTGGTGGGAATCGGACAACCAACCCGAGCTTCGTTGCTACTTACATTGGTCGCAAATGGTCCAACTAGAGCGAGATTTTCACTATTGGCGCACAATTTGGTTAAGTTTCCACCAGCCGGTAACACGGAGAAGGAGAGAGAGAAGAAAAAAAGAAACGACGTCGTTAACAATGAAGTGTGTATGTGTAAGGGTATATAATTGGTCGATGGGCTTTAGTTTTCTTTTCTTCATTTTTTCTCTTTCGTTCTGTATGTTTCTCTATCGAACCCCGACAGCTTCGTCGTCGATAGTAAAGCGAGTGCACTCGTTTAGTGTATAACATCGGCAGCAAAAACGACATGTAAAAAAAAAAGTTTGACTCGACGGAAGCAGGCAACAGCGAGTCGGTCATAAGAAGAAACAAGAAGAATATGTGTTGGGAAGGAAAAAAAAGAAAAGAAAGAATGATAGATCGGCCAAAAGACCTACTTCTCTTTATACATAAAAATGAAAAAGAATAGTTAACTGACAAACTCGATACTTTTCTATATTATTATGACAATCTCGTATTTTCGACATATTCATAAAACATTGCTTGGCAATGTATAAAAGAATTTGAATAGAATATTTATGTTTTTGAATGAAGGAAGCAAGAAAAATGTACAAACATAGGTTTTTTTATATTCTTAACACATAATATAAAGTATTCTTGCAATGATTAATATAGTAAGAAGAAAAATCTACAAGTTATATTTAGAAATGATAAGGAAAAATGATTCTTATTACAATGAAACATGAGAAGAAGAAATTTTTAACATTTTTTTTTTATTGTAAACTCACATTTCTATTAATCGTAATTTTGAAATTAATAAAACTTAATAAATAGAGATTAAAAAATTTTCTTCCTTATATTAATGACCAATGTTTAAAAATTGACTGAATTTGATATTTATACACGTTCTAGGACAAGAAATTTAATTTAATCTTTTTAGTATAAAGATTTATTAGTACTGAAGTTGTTTTCAAAATATTCTTAAAAGTTAATAGAACCGGTCATTGCAGAAATAATATATTGCATAGTCGAAATATTAGTGTAGTTTAATTTCGATATGATTAAATGATAGAAGCAGGAAAACGATTGTAAAAATATCATATACGTTCAGTCGATGATTCGAACAATATATTCTTAAATTTTCTTATGAGATTATCCTGAATTATAACTTAATTTGTATAAAGAGATTTTTTTTATAAACGTCTTTTGTCTTGTAATTCTGTCAAGTTCGATTGTTCATAAAGTAGCAATCTCTTGCATTTGATTAGTCTTTTTTTATTTATGACAATCGACAACAGAACGAGTATTATATTGAATAATTAAATCATCATGTTGAAT